CACCAGATTCTTGAGACACATCCTAGTGGGTATGTGCATCGTGAGCTTCTGTCTCTATGGATTCGTTTCAAAAATGAAGAGGAACGTTATAATCTCGAAAATATTGTTTCAAAAGATCAAGTTTGTAAAACTAGTCTTTGTTAGTATGAAAATCATACTAATGAAGTTTAGTAGTTGCACTGTAATTTCCAGAGAATCTTATAGCTGCCGACAAATAAGATTTACTTAAAACCCAACACCTTATCTGTCAGTTGCAATTGTCAGGAGAAAACAGTAAAATTATTTATCGCTTTGTAAAACTTTATATTTAAATAGAGAGTCATTCGTCATAATCATATGCCTCACAAACTTTTGAAAAATTAAGTTTATCAATAAATAGATGGATGTTTCAGAGCCTTCGCAAGGTAATAAATTTCTTCAGCCGATCAAAACCATATGTGTTCTTGGTGGTTCTAGACTAGTAAGTTTTTCTCAAAATGTTGATATTGTGAGTCAGTTAGTAAGGGATGTGGGAAATCAAAAAATCAATTTACTGTATGGAGGTACTAGCATCACTTTCTTTGATAATCTTTTATTGGCCGGAAAATGTTTTGAGATAGAAGTGAAAAGTATCATACCTTTTCATAGAGCTTCAACAAGGGTCGTCAAGGATTCCATATGCATGATGCTAACTCATTCTATTCATGATTGTATGATGGATATGGCGAACAAGAGCGATGCATTTATCATTCTTCCAGGCGGTTATGGAATGCTAATGACAATGTTCATCCTTGCTTCTTGGGCAGAATTAAAACTTCATAACAAGCCCATAGGTCTATTGAATTTTAATAACTTTTTTTCTGGTTTGCTTGGATTTTTAGACCAAGGAGTATATCAAACCCTTATATCTCCTACAACAAGAGAAGTATTCAAATTTGCAGATACGTCTGGTGATCTTATCAAAAAGCTCCAAGAATGCATCACATTTCAAGATTATGTGGAAACACAAGGGGTCAAAAGAAAAAGAGCTTTTGATCCTTTAGATCTCTCATTATGAACCCATATAACAATAATGGGTGGCAGAGTTACGGAGTTTTCTACTCTCGAGACGCACCCTTCTTTTATGGGTTCTATTATGTAATATTTGCGTGTTTTGTATTTATCGAGTATGTACTGCCTTTTCTCCACATTTCCATCATATGAACTCTCTGTACTTGTTTCTCATTAGTAATAATATCAATTTCACTTTTCCATAATATAAGCGTGTAGTACTTCATGACTACAATCATTTACCATATGTGCTTCTTCTGGAGCATTTTATTGTAATATCTATAGGATCTCGAATTCAATGTGATCTGATATAGTCCCTTAGACTCATATAATATATTGAGAAATCATTTTGTGTGATCACCCATAACTAATAATTTTTATACCACTTTTCTCATTTTGTTCAATCATCTAATGGTAGCTTCTGGTACCATTTCATCATTTTGTTTAATTATAACGTGGTAGCTTCCAATACCAATATACCAGATATCTTTTAATAATTAAGTAGTAACTTATGGTACTACTTCATCGATATTCGTTTCTCCATCAATTTGGAGAATTTATCAATTATTCTTTCAGGATCATATTAGTCCATATAATGTCCCTTCATGACGAGGACTTTAATTAACTTTCACATGGCCAGATACAAAGTATCATTAATTTCACCATCGGCCACTTAATTCGTACTGCCTGTCGCCGGCGGAGCCTTACTGGCCGGCCCATGTATATATATAGCCATTCAAAATTTAGTGCACATGGCCTTCATCTGGCCATTCCCTATCACCGGTTATCATTATTCAGTACACTAACCGGTTCAGTTAGTTTTTCAAATCTTATTTCGGTGGATACACTGCCTGGCCATTTCACATATTTTTCATATTTCAACAGTTGACCCGTCGTCTACCATTAAATATCACCTTCGGCGGTAGAGCCGCATTGGTCTGTCTATGTAGCCACACATATTTACTTTTATATCACATAGGTCAATTCATAGATTTCCACATGTTACCGTATTGCAATAACCAATCCATAAGTATTCGTCAATATGACAAAATAGTTTCGCAGCAACAAATTAAAACTTAAATATTTTATGATAATAGTCTATCTTATTTTATTAAATCATATTAATATTGGTCTCTGAATAAAGCTCTCATTACCCCAAGCATTATGATATTAGCAAAAATTAATTTCACTAATGCGTGCTTGAAATGTGTAACAAACAATGATATTTGTATAGAATACATCATGCATTAAGTAATGTTGTCTTCATCTAATAATTGTTAATATGCATTTGGTGTGGTGGGTTTCGTAGACTTGGAACTTGCAAGTGAATAGTAGTTGAAATAATGTTAATTTAATGTATCTAAATTTAAAAGAAAATGAGAAATGAAAGTTGAATTTATTAGATGATGAGTTAGTACATTGCATTTCTTTTGTTTATTGGTCCACACCACATGTTTTGTCATTCACAATTTATCCTACCACTCTAGCACATTAAATGACATTTATTATTTGTCATAATGTCCTTGTCTAAATGTCGCATGCAAATAAAACATATGCCATGTGAATGTATGTATTGTCTCTCCATGAAACTAAATTATTAAAGTAGCAATGAAGATAGAACTGAGAATGTATAGTTCTAAAAGTTAATAAAACTTACAAAGCCAACATATTGATGTATGTCGAACCAATACCTGAAGCAATATTTGCTTTCTCCTTACTCATCTTCATGCCGCTCGTAAGAAGAGGTTATAGCAGAGCTATGAACAATAAAAGAGAATTTTGGCTACTCAAATGGTGGGAGTTTTTCTTCTATGCTCTTTTTATTTTCTATACTCACTTTTCATTTTTTTTTATTTTCCTTTTCATTACCTTCCTCGCCTTTTGATTTTCATTTTTGGAAAAAATAGTACTTTTGTTTTATGGTTCTTGACTATGGTGGGTGTCCATTGAAGCATATTATATGCTCAAGAAGTAAGTGAAAATGGCTAAAGGTAGAGCATGAAAATTCAGAATTTCCCCCATGAGTGATACGAAAAATTGGTTGGGAAAAAGTAACGATTGTAACAATTAGATTTCTGATACGGAAGATCATCTCTAAGATGCAACCGTAGAGCATACTCTCGTCATATTACAAACTGAGCTCAAGAGGGTAGAGACTCGTGCTGATAACGTGTTATAAAACAAGAGAGAAAGAGAGAGAATAGAGAAAATGTTTCTCTTAGGTACAATTTTCATTATAACTGAAGCTCCTATTTATAGGAAACTTCTGATGGCACAACCGTAATAATACAATTACATCAGGGACAAAATAGTCATTCATATAAATTATTTTATAATAAATATTTCACAACATATATATATTAATTGTGTTAAGTTTTCTGACATTGTTAGGTATGTAATATATATTTTAATTGTGTTGTCTTGTGGGCCCTCTAGTACAACAAGCAAAGTTATTTTATTTTCCTCAAAAAGCTGTAACTCCAATCTCTTCTTTTACTCCCTTGCACAACTATAAAATTTGGACGCAATTAAGAAAAAAAAAAAACCAAAAAAAAGACAAATCCTTCAATAATCAAGTGGCTTGTATTTTATTTCAAAATGTATGCTTTATTTAATTGTTTTCTATTTTTCATAGAATTTTTTACCAGAAAGTTAAAAAAAAATAAGTTGTCGAAAAAAAATACACAAACAAATGAGATGGACCAAAATAAAAACTCCGTATTCAGTGAATATGTTTTACTATTTTTTAATTGTAAAACGTATTCATTGAATACGTTTTCTTTTGTAAAAAAAATATGAAAAAACGTTTTTAGGGAATACGCTTTCTATACAAATTGTATAGAAAACGTATTCCTTAAATACGTGCTTTCTATTGTTGTCCACTCTCTTTTTTTTCTTTTTTTTTTTGGTCCACATGTTTTTTTTGTTTTTTTAAATATATAAATTACACAATTTTCATAACCCTAAATTTATATTTGAGAATTTTTAAAATTGATGTAATTTTTAATTTAGGGCTTTCATGATATTGATAAAATAGCTTCTTAAATGTTATTTCTTATTTGTTGCGTATTTTTTTTAGAGAACATGTAGAGAACAATTGTAACGTTTGTCATTTTGTTTTTTTTTATTCTTTTATGAATTATATTATGCCCCCCTACTTTTAAATGTCTGCGTCCGCCACTGGGCCCAGGTGGGTGCTCCGTAACGGTTGACTTCGCACCCAGCCTTCACCCGGGCACGACTCAGTCAGGTCAACTCGATTTGACCCAATCCTATATTTTTTATTTATCTTTTAAAATAATTTATTTTATTTTAAACATAAAAAACCATGTATATATATATTTAGTATAAGATACAATATTATTAATATTTTGATATACAAAATTTATATTCAAAACATTTATTTTATTACTTTTATGTATAGTTATGTAATAAAATACAATATATATAATTTTAAAATTTAAAATTAGCTATCCGTTCATCAAACCCAGAGACTTTCTCGGGTTGATTCTCGAGTCGGGTTTAAAAACTAGGGTATAATAAAGACTTTTTAACTCATTAACATTGGAATAATAATCATGCTCCTACATTTTCATTCTCTTCATTAATCCGTTGCTTTGCTTTCTTATTCAATTATTTCACTCTAACTAAGTTGATACTATTTTTCTTATAACCATTTCATTGTAACCAAGTAGATAACTTGTGGGCGACATTTTCCATGGTTACGAAATTCACACCTATCATATTATATGGTTCACAACACCATAAATTCAATCACAACCTTTACGCACAGAAGATGAGCTTGACAGCGACAGCATGTCATCTCCATGCACAGAAATGGTGAGCAAGCACAGACACAGTATATAGTAGTTCATCTTTAATTGCACATACCTCATAATATCCTATACAAGGTGATCATATCATATACAGAACTAAGCATGAAGGTTTGCTGAACTTAAGCAAACAGAACACTAATGATATCCAAGAGGAGCTGGAGCCTCCCTTAGCTCTTTCCCTTGAAATTGAATATCCTGCACAAGCAGTACCCGATTAAGAAAACGAAATCAACAATTTGGGTAGACCATTTCGATTAATGAGCTCAAGTGATAATGTTGACTTCCATCAATACTTAACCTATTAACTGAAGACAGTCAATTGAATTTAGCCTAAAATGCGGTCGGAAAGCATATCTTTCCAGTTGCGTCTATAGACAACAGGAAGCATTCTTATACGAAATTCTGATGAATATTGCTGTTAAAATACTCCAAAGGTAAAAAGCTCTGAGAAACGTGGATATGAGCATCCAAATACGAGTATTACAACTTCCCCCACTATCAAAATTTTCTACATCCAACATTTACTAGAACAAACAAGGCATTATCTTTTATCCTGTGGTCGTCTAAGTATCCAAAACCCATCATCTTATTTCGGACCTACAATTGATTTGATCATTCAAGAATTCAGAAAGCAAAATAGCCATAAACGAACATGAAATAATCAGAACAAATTCTACATAAAAACGCATCGAAAGCATGCAAAACAAGAGATGACATAAAACAAAGAGAAAAAACTCACAGAAGCAAAATGGTTGACGTCCCGGTGGTGAGCCTCGTCCGCACGTATAACAGTAATCACATCCTTCAGCTTCGCGTCCTTGGGAAGCCTCCAGTAATCGACTGCGATAGCAGGGGCCGGAACATTCTCAATAGCACCACTGTCAATGTCCTTGAGGTACTCAGTGTAGGAGTGTATGGCCTCCTCCTCCAAGTAGCCGACTATTCTGTGGGCTAGCTTGGGGGACAAAAGGTAGAGCACGAAAAAAGCATTAAAGAATACCCCCTGGACGGTGAGAACAAGCAGCCTCTCGTGCCACCGGGGCTGAACGAGCTCAACCATGGTCATTAGGTGCATCCGCTCATTCTCGGCCTCCTCCAGCAGCGCCTTGATCCAACCACCACTCTGCTGGAACTTGCGTAGGGATCTGAGGTGCAGCAGCATGCCACCCACCATGCCCGGGACGCCAGCCACTGTCTCCAGCATCATTGCACGGCACCCGTACCGCCTCTGACACACACACATGGATTAGAATTTTCCGAATTTCGACGTGTTCTCATCTTCTTCATTTCTTTATTTTTTTATTTTTTCTTTTTTAAAGGATACTCACTGGTCGGCAAATTTATTAAATGAAAATATCTGCTAAAAGATTACCAGTAAACAATCTATAGTAACCAAAGAAGAGACGAGGGAAAGAAAGGTGACGATCGAGAGAAGGAGAATATCATCTTTCAATCTCCATCAGTAAATGCAGCTATGACAGGGTTTTTCAAAAGTCTAGAAAATCCAAATTAATGTTGGAGGTGTAATAACTTATAAAGTTGCCTTGCTATAATTTCTACACAATAATAATTCAGAGGTTAACGAATGTGGAAAATCAACCGATGTAGCCATAATAAAACATAAATACTAGACAATTAGTTAGTCGATCCGATGAATTTAGTACTTAAGTGACATGGCTTATAATTTCATCTCAAGGATCTCCGCAGCATACTGATTTTTAGGTTTATTTCCGGAAATGATCAACAAACTTGCATGTAACTGTAAGTGGTGGGCCATGAGAACTGATAACTAAATGATAAGGTATTGTATAACCAAACACCTCATAATTCACAATCTGATGACGAATAACTGAGGAAGAGGCAGCTTCTACGGGCAAAATCTTTAAAAATTTGGAAGTTTTCTATTGTTTCGTCAGAGCTAAACAAGACATAGATGTAATTTCCTCAGATGAAAAGGATAACAAACCTGGAAAAACAAATCTGTGGGAATCCTAAGAAGCTTCACTGTACGATATGCCACTTTGTCAATAAATGTCTTCGGAACATGATGCTTATTTAGATCAATTGACACATCGGCCCGGTAAGTTTCCCATGGCTGCAAAATGGAAACATGAGAGCACTGATTAAGGTTGTCAACAATATAGTGTTCCTATATTGTAACATTACTGTTACTAGTTGGTCTAATAACTGAATTGGCATCTGTATACAACATCAAACCTGCAGAAGCTATTGTGATTAACTGATAGTAGGCACAGCAGCAAGTTGAAGCTATTGACTTAAATATCTTTACATGAGTCTCGTCCGTAGATGTTTACCCACAGTCAAGTTTTTATATGAGAGCAGTTAAATAAGGGCCAACATTAAGAGCAGGAGTTTGTTAATTTGAAATTGTACAATGAAAGAAGTCATTGTTTTTTATTTTTTTTCTTCTTCAAAAAGGTAGGACAATTTATATCTGAATTAATAAAATATTGTTCCTATAGATAACATTATTTCATTATGATCAAAATTTGGTGACACATTCAAAATAGAATGATGCTCCAAATATTATGAATGAAATTTGAACAACCCCTGCAAGAATTCCCATAGCTTCACAAGAGAAGTACAAGGCCATAATCTCCAAATGCCAAATGTGACTCATGTTTCCGAACAATTTCATACATCATATTTTATTCAAAAATGAAAATAAATAAAAGTAAATAAACAATAAAGCCAATGTCCTTGCATAGGTCAACCCCAAAGATGACTACAGACTGCAGTTTCATAGCCATTGCTTTTCAGCTAATTGAAAGAGCTCGGCGACAGGAAATATGCCGATCGAAATTCAAGCAAAATCGATACCGATAATAAGATAATTACATGGTCGAAGCACATAAATCACACAACGACCTTCATCTAAAACCACCGGATTACGCCCAAACACAATACCCTCCTATTTTAATATGATCCCAGAATCCTGCTGGCATATCACCTTCAGCATCCTAAAATTCAGATCATCACACAGAAAACCCTCAGGCTCAATTCAAACTAACCATATAGCTTAAGAAAACAGCAGTTAGCACCTGCAATCATAGGTCGGTTATGCAAGCAATCTTGCAGTTGTATATCTCATTCCTCAACAAAAATCAAAATTAATCATAACCCAAACACACAGGTGCACATAACATTATATCTAAACAGGGGATAGAAGGTGAAATCACCATGAAACAATTCCACGGCCACTCCGTACCGTCCTCTCTGGTGATTCTAGGCCTCGAGATTCCCCAGTAGCTCGACACCACCACATCGCCTTTCTCCGCGTTCCCCGCCGCCACGCTGTTGCTTTTGTCTTCCTTCTCCACCACCGCGGACGTCGAAGAATGCTCCGTCGCCGAGCTCATCATCCGCCTCCACCCGACCAGCACCGTACTCGACCCCCGCGGCTCCGCCCCAGCCGACGCGCCAAAAGGCGCCAGCTCGCGGATCCCCACCGGCGAGTACGATGAAAAGTCGCGGCGGCGAGTACCTCCGGCGATCAAACGCCTCATGACTGATCTTGCCATGAAGTGGTTCATATTCGTAAATGTACACAAAACAGAGTTCAACTTTTTGGTCTGGTCAGTGGTCTCAGAGTATTCTGGAAATTGATGGCCGATGGCGGCTTTCAAATATATTGGAGAAGGTATGTTTGTGTAGTGTTGGTTCACATGGACCGAAAATTTATAGGAGGTGGATAAATAAGGGGAGAATGCTACCATCCCGTTATGGTATGGTTCCGTTGTGTTTTCTAGCCATAGATATACATGTAATCTAGTGATGGGTAGTTAATCCAACGCTTAAAAACACAACGGA